ATATATATATTTATGCATAACAATCATATGCATACTCACCTTGCGCTTTATAGTTGTGCCGATCGTTTGCAGCTTCTGCATGTACCCCAGCGCCACCATCTCGTTATTGAATTCGGGCTCCGCGTAGGCATCGTACAACGAGTTGAGGGTTTCGGCGGTAACATCAGCACAGATGTCCTGTTCGTATATGAAATTGTACGGGTGAGTATGCGAAATTCTTGTGTGCAGCGTGGCATAGTGCAACAGTAGATGTTGCTACGATAAAATGTGCTATATATGGAGATAGAAATAGGGCTTTGACAATACAGAACTGCAAGATTGTGGATGGGCCTTGAACATGACACCCGTTTGTCACATGCCGGCACTTCATATCGAAACCCTTTTAAGTTTTAAGAGGAAAAACAGTCTGTCCATTCTGCCAACCTCTCCAACTGGACCCTCCTCAAAAATAGGTAATTATGCTGCCTAAAAAAAGGCATACCTGGACCATATATTCATACTTATGCGTCCCCTTGACACATACACTGTGCTACGAATCTTATCTGAACAAACTACATAAACACTCACGCGCAAGTGTGAAACACACCTCGAGCAAGTGAAGCAGGACTTTCAAGATCATAGTATGTGAATCACGGTGCTCGGGGGCTATCATTTGGCCCAGACACCCCACCAACCCAGCAATGGTGGTGCGTGTGCCTTCGTCCGAGCTCAACACGTGGTTGCATATCTTCTCACAGCTTGCTACTGGCAGATCACGAACAGATATAAGTTCACTTGGTGTTTCCACCGATCGCAGTAGCGTCCACATCGCTCCCGTCGTCGCGGCAATGAGGTCAGTGTCGCCGTTGCTCATGAACAGCACGAGCGTGAGCTTCTTCCACAAGTCATTGGGGTGGGTCGTATACCGGGGCTTGGTAGACGGTTTGTCAGCCAGGCACAGGTTGTTGAGCGCCCCTGGGGGTGTAACAGATATGTGTGCGCGTTGGAATGAGTGAAAGCATATAGGATGGAATGTGGATATGGTAGTGTCACACTTCAGCGTGCATAAATGATATATAGGTCAAAAAGTGGTTGAGCTGGTCAGAAGCAAGAACCCGCGAGGCAGTATAAATTTTTACCGCGCCTATGGTTATACTGATTCCTGCGAGAATACACACAATTATATTGAAACCCACTGGTGACTTGGGAAATGTAGGCATTCTCTGAATAAACGTCGTTCATGATCGTCGTCGACTACACAGGGCCCAGTGGCAGGCCGCTGTGAGGATCACCTCATAAATATATCTACAGCGGGAACAAAAACGAATACACCGAATACACAAAATATCTCAGATACAGAGCAACTACGACACCGTAATACACAAGAGAGTTCTTCCCTAAGCGCTAACTCGCTGTACAATATCCAGCATGATTCGTCCGGACCTCTAAATGAAAAACTTTAAGCAATTGGTCTCGAGCAATGGGCAGAGCCTGATAGAGGCTTGCCCCTCACACTTACTTCGCCAAATACTTGTCGGACCCTTCGCAGCGATATCGAAATACCTTGCCACACTCAGTGACACGAGACGAGAGCACAAACAAAACATGCCAGTCGCACAACAAGGCCATCAACACACCAACGGCGCGGCACTGTGTGATCCCCAGGTTTTCGTGGAAATCCCGTCCAACGCTCGTCGACGTCAGCACCTGCCGGATGTGTGCTGGACAAGGCACGCAACGGGCCAGAAGCAGCGCCTGGATATCTGCATCGCATGTGCTGCCGCGACGGTCAGCGGAGTGGGCAACAGAGCTGGTCATGGCCGTGTCTGCCTGTATATTGTCGGATTGTTCGTCAATGTCGTCCCACTCCTCCATCTCGGCGTCGCTGCCATCGTCTTCGTTGTCGTACTCGTCGGATAAGACGTTGGAGTATATCTCAAGCGCAAGCTGCTGGGCTTTGACCTGCACGGGGACGTGAAGTGCGTCAGAGAGCCATCCGTACCTTACAAGTGCTGTGATCGTTTTCTCTGGTTCAAGACTCGTCAAGACACTTTATGTGGTGTACACGCATACACATATATACCAACTAATTGGTACCTCTCACACCAGTTTAATATGGATTGGGAATTCGCATTTCTTAGACAAAAATATATACAGACGTATAAAAATTTACTAAAACATCAACCCAGTATCTCTAAAAACCTACCGCGATGCGTGCTGTCTCGACCGCGTCCAGTACAGTAGTCTCAGCCAAACGCTTCGACTTCTCCTCCGCCGTCTCCTTCCCACCCATAGACTGCGCAAACTGTGCGAGCGCGTTCTTATCGCTGTCGATCTGGCTGGCCTGTGCAATCAGCGGCAGTAGGGCCGGCAGGGCCCCCAGCATATCCACACCGAGTACGACTCGCAGAGGAGCCATGAGATTCGGTGTGATGCTCGTGCTGGCTTGTGCGGCGGCTTTAGTGCTGCTGAGATTGTACAGGATGCCCGTGCACACTACACTGAGCAGGCATACCTGCATCTCTGGCTTGGTGTAGTTGGCTGTGTTCTGGAAGGCTATGGGCTGTGCAGTCTGTGTCAGTATGGCCATTGCCGTGGGCAAGCCTAGGAGTGTGGCGGCAAGCGGCTCGTTGTCTTCGCTGATCGTGTACAGACATTGACACACTAACAGTCGCATGTGTGTAGCCAGCATGGTGTGTTGCGGGGCGACATTCACCGAAGCGCCGGGCGCCTGGGGAGAGGTAAGCATATACAGTAGCACTTCCAGGTAGGAGTGTTCTTGGAATTTGCCCATTGCGTTGTCAGTGCTCTCACACAGGGTCAATAGTAGCGTCAAACAGTTCTCGATGGTAAGTGACAGCTTGTGTGTGAGTTCAAGGATTTTGGGTTGTGCTTGATCTTGAGCTACGTTGTTAACGTAGGCTTTGACAGTCTTTTCGAGACCTGACCGGAGCGAATGGAACACATCGGCATTTTGAAGCGCATGAGCGTCCGCTCCAAAATCCCAATTCCGAAGACACCCACTGGACTCCTTCCTGCATACGATACGAGTTGTAAGTATAGATGCTGTAAGCAACACGCTGAAACCCACTTGTATGCATGCAACACTGAAATCACACTTGCTCTTGTGAGGGACACGAGGCGGGCTCAACAGGAGAATGCAGAATATCGTCGAGAGATGTAAAGCCCATCCGATGTTCTGTGCTCATGCCCAAAACATCGCATGACAATAGCATACCAATACATCGAATGACAATAGCATACCAATATGCAACTCAGTACGTGAATACTAGAATACATACTCGTGGCACTCCAAACGAATATAGATATGCAAATATACAAGTATAGATAACTACACGTCTGTGTGTTTGCATATATA